AAAAAAAAAAAAAAAAGAAAGAAAAAGATTGACCTCTCTTTCCTCCCAACTACAGTAAAATCTGGCCATAGCCCCAGGCAATACAAAAGGGTAACTGACACCAGGCTGTGGTGTCTGGAAGGCAGTTGGGGGTGGTGGGGACAGGGGCAACCTACTCTCTACTATCTAAAGAGAGCTGCTGCTGCTGAACCCTAGAAGATGTGCATGCCTGGGGTATCTGGATAATTAGATTTCTTCCCAGAAAAGGGAGAAAGTTGGAGAAAGTGGTAGGCCCTCAGTTTTTTAAATGCCAACAAATAATTTAAAAATAATTGTTCAGGCCAGGTGTGGTGGCTCATGCCCGTAAGCCCAGCACTTTGGGAGGCCAAGGCAGGAGGGTCAGTTGAGGTCAGGAGTTTGAGACTGGCCTAGGCAACAGAGTGAGACCCTGTCTCTACACATTTTTTTGTTTGAGACAAGGTCTTGCTCTGCCCCATAATCTCAGCTCACTGCAACCTCAACCCTCCCAGACTCAAGCAGTCCCCCTACCTCAGCCTCCCAAGTAGGAGGGACTACCAGTGTGTGCCACCATGCCTAGCTAATGTTTTTATTTTTTGTAGACAAAAAATAAAACATGGGGTTCTGCCGTGTTTCCCAAGCTGGTCTTAAATTCCTGAGGTCAAGTGATCTGCCTGCCTCAGCCTCCGAAAGTGCTGTGATTACAGGTGTGAGTCACCGCCCCTGGCCTAAAAACTTTTTACATATTAAAAAATAATGTTGCCGGGCACGGTGGCTCACGCCTGTAATCCCAGCACTTTGGGAGGCCGAGGCGGGTGGATCACAAGGTCAAGAGATCGAGACCATCCTGGTCAACATGGTGAAACCCCGTCTCTACTAAAACTACAAAAAATCAGCTGGGCATGGTGGCGTGTGCCTGTAATCCCAGCGACTTAGGAGACTGAGGCAGGAGAATTGCCTGAACCCGGGAGGAGGAGGTTGCGGTGAGCCGAGATCGCGCCATTGCACTCCAGCCTGGGTAACAAGAGCGAAACTCTGTCTCAAAAAAAAAAAAATTCAAAATGTTGTTTTAGGTAATTGTTCAACTCCCTGGAATGTGAGGCTGAGGGCTGTGATGACCTCAGGACTCCCCCTGAGCTTTCAGTGCTGGAGTTGGGGAAGTTGCAGGCAAATTAATCCCACAGCAGGATCAGGGGCAGCCTGAAACCTAAGCCCTGCTCCTCCTGGAGTTCCCTGCCTGCCTCTGTGCCCGCTATGGGCAACTGTGACCCACACCCTGCTGCCCTGGTGGGTGATGTGTCCATCATGGCTATGGCGGCTCCTGGGCTGCAGCTGGGGTCTGGTTTCCCGCTAAGGCTGAAGTAAGGAACCATCATGTCTGGGCTGACACCTCAGGCTGCACGCTCCTCGCAGAAACAGCACCTGTGAGCTGGACATACACAGCCCACAGCCCCGGGTAAAGAGATGTATTTGTAGAATGTTCCCCTCAATGTGGCTTCAAATGCTTTTTAATTCATTCAATAAAAACATCATGAAAGTCATGAATCTAGTGCTGTCCATCCTGGCGGCTTCCGAGGCTGGTCTCTGGGAGGATGAGGGTCAGAAGCAGGCTGGGGTGGAGAGCTCATTTCTTGCCCTTGCCTTTCTCCTTGCCCTTCTCCTTGTCCTTTGCTTTGCCCTTGCCCCGTTTCTTCCTGGATCTGAGCAGGGAGCGCACCAGGTAGCCCTTCCATACGGCCTGGATAAGTGTGGCCGCCCGCACCATGTGCACCATCTCCTGCTCTGCCTCCATCCTTTTCTTGGAGTTGATCTCCTGCTCTTCCCGGATCTGCACAAACTCCTCCACCAGCACTTGGTGCTTCCGCTTCAGCTCCTCCAGCGTGATCTTCTCCTCCCTGTGAACAGCTTCCAGATCCTCGAACTCCTCCTTCGGAGAGGGGTGGGACTGGGGTCACCACCCTCCTCCCCAAGACCCTCCCACCCTTCCCAAATGGGCTTCTGCTCCAGCGATGCCCCTAAGCTAAGCTGTTCAGCATCTTGGTCCCAATGAGATGGATGGGGAGAGGGGATGGGCTCCATCCTACCTCTAGGAAGGACCTGACTAAAATAATTTCAGGAACAGGAAAAGAACACGGGCTCGTGAGTTGGGCAGACTTAAGTCCCAGCTTTGCCACACCTCAACTGACTTCACCTTTTTTCCTCATCTGAAACATGGGGACGATTCCAAACCCAGGGGCTGTTTCTAGGATGAAATGACCCATTGGACACAATGTACTGGACATCGTGCCAGGCACACAGTGGGGACACAAGAAATGGAAGCTGCTGCCCTAAAGCAGCCTGTTATACAAAACACCAAAGTAGAAGGCGCTTTCTCAGGCTTCAAAGAGAGCCCCAGAGTTCTTCCTCATGTCTAACTGCAGCCTCTCCTGCTGTCATTTACACCTGTTTTCCTTCCTTCCACTGATGTTTTCCCAGCATCTACAATAAGCAGAGTACCACCAGAGGACACAGAGCTGGGTGGATAAGGTCCCTGCCTGCAACCAACCCACAAGCCTCATGGGGCCCAGAGAAATGAGAGCCCCAGCCTACGAAGCTGCCCTCTCCGGGCCCTGATTGTTGCACAGGACAAGTCTCTGACTTGCCCTTAAGAGCACACCTGGCTTTGGCTCACTCCAGCTCATGTTACCTCCAGTGGTCCCCCGGCCTCCCTGGCCCCTAGGTCGGAGCCATGGGCCACCAATGTTATCCCATGGCTGGGTGAAGGGCTTGGGGGTGTCTCGATTTGAAGGTTACCACCCCCTGGGCACTTCCTCCAGGCCGGCCAGACCCTGTACGGGGCACACACACTTGCAGCCATGAAGTCTCACTGAATCCCCACCATGGTCCCAAGATGGGAACTATTGCCTCTGCTGATCAGATGCAGAAACAGCTCGGGAAGGTCAAGTCCCTTGCTTAAGGCCACACAGCTGGCATATCTCAGATGCTCAATAAAAACTGGCTGAGTGACTGACGCGGTGGAGGCAGGCTCCCATCTAAGCCTGCAGGGAGGAGGCCCAGACTGGGCGGAGCCCAGCCAGAGGACTATGGGATGTGGACACTAGATGGAGCCACAATCATTAGGCCCAGTGTCAGGGCTTTCTCCTAGCCAATCACTTTCTTTTTTTTTTTTTTTTTTTTAAAAGAGACGGGGTCTTCCTCGGTTGCCCGGGCTGGTCTTGAACTCCTCAGCTCAAGCGAACTTCTGACCTCGGCCTCCCAATGTGCTAGGATTACAGGTGTGAGCCACTACACCTGGCCTTGCAGCTTCTGGCTCTTTTCTTTCCCACCTCTTGCTCTGCCCCAGGCGGGACAAACCCTTTAAACAAAGGGAGGTACTCTCCCCAGAGACGCTCAGAAGTTTGCCCCCTCTGTTGACCATTCCAAGGCTGCTCCTCCCATTCCTCCCATCCCTAG